TTTGTAAAGGGTCTCAAATGGGCAAACCCCATTCCAGTCGGGGGGGGAACGTCACGGACGTTTTTTGGCGACGGACAAAAAATCGGTGATAATGTCGACAGGGTATAGCCTTCTGAATTTTATACATAGAAGGCTATGGACAGGGTGTCAGGGACTTCTTAAGACCAAAAGAAAAGCTTTAAATACGCTTTCAGTAATAAATTCAGTAGAGGTTTATTTAGTTGGACTTTGAGCCCTAAAACAATGAGCAGTAATGTACTAAATGCATATTCAAATTTGAATGTCAGCAGTTTGTAAGGCGCTAATTCTACTCTAAAACTACTCCTTTGAAATTGTCAGTAAGTTTGGGGGCTACTTCTGTGAGCAACCGAAAAGGAGGAGCCACCAGTCTTGTGCTGTAGTTAAATACCCGAGTTAATCGGGCTCGGATATTCTAGCATTTATCTGAACCGCCTGTGCGGTGAACCCTAGAGTTTACTTGAGTGACGTAACCCAATAAACCCTACCAGTTCAGTACTACCTCTAAATTTTATTACACGCCCCAATTGCCATCAGCCGGACCCAGAGGGCCACCAATTGGGACAGAGCTGATAGCAATTCTAACATTAAAGAGACCATCCGAACTATAATTCTGCGAGAAACAAACATTGCCAAACTCAGTCACACAACACCCACTCACCTAGGATAGATGTAGAGTTTAGAATATCATACACCATTAATACCGCCGCCGAACTAGGCACATACCACCAACGTCCCTTGTCAACCAACGAACCAAATGCACGGCTGCTGCAAAGAGCGATCAACCCTATACGCACAAATGTACGAGATGGCGACACCGCGATGCGAGAAGTAGTAAAACAAACTCACCCAACAAAAGTAAATGAAAAGCTGATTAGTGTACAAGGATAGATGCCTACTCGGCCAAAGCATGCAAGATAGAGATCCATGGAAGAACCACAATAAGAAAGTAATACACCAGTAATGAGAGATAAAGTGAGTCAGAAAACAAACAACGTTGTTAAGAGACGCCCACTAACCAGCAATTCGCCGATCAGACGGGATGCTGTCCTCAAAAGTAAGCGGGGCACGCATAGATTGCTGCCACTCGGCTAACTTAGCCGCACGCTTCTCTGCGTGTACTGCAAAATTAATGACACTCTTCACGCTAGAGAGTCGGCTTGCAGCGGTAGTTGCAGACAATGCCAATCGCAAGCCTGCAACCGTGTCCGCCGACAGCACGAATTAAATGATCCGGGTGCGCTAGTCGTTCATGCCAACTGACGGCGTAGGCATATTCTTTTCAGAAAAAAATCCAGGGGTACGACGTAAACATCTTGCTTCTGCTCACAATTATATACTAGGTGTTGGGGTGATAGTAAATGGCAGACTGTGTCATCCATGTAGATCTTGTATCCTGCCTCGGTTAATTGGGGGACGCTGATTAGGTTGGTCTTTAGAGTTGGTCCATAAATAGCCCTTCCAGCGTCACTCAATTGCCCTGAGTGAGTTGCGATTCCAATAGTCCCGTCAGCTAGGTGTACGTTTGTGAAGTGATATTTTGCGTTTGATATCAACTCCAAATCGTTAATAATGTGGACTGAGGCTCCACTGTCCAGAGTCCCACTCGGTTCAGTCGGTGTTATTCCGTCAGTCGTAGATGCTCTTTGGCCGAAAATTCTCTCTGAGTCTATGGCATTGATTGGTGAAGAGGTAAAGTCCTCATTAAATTTGTCACTAAAAGCTTCATCTTCTTCGGAGTCGCTGTCGGACATTAGGTGGGGTAGGTCATCGTAGTCATCCTCACTAGAGCTGTCGAGTAAAAGTCCTGGCGGTCCATCATCTTCGTCCGAACTACAAGTTGGATTATTTAGAATAAATCTGATAGTTCTTTCTCGTCCGGCTCGGTGTTTGGCTTCATTCCAAATCCAGGGCAATTTTCGGGGGTTGCCATGATGGCTTCTGGCATGTCATCATCCGACAATTCGACGTCAGATTCGACATAGTCGGCAACTGCTGAGAATGCTCTAACGCCTTCATCGTCACTACTCGAATTTTGCTCATCATTCTTGTCCAAATTAAACGTTACTTTAGGAGTTTACGCATTTCCTCCCTCGAGTAGTATCCTCTTCCGTTAGATGCTTTTCTGTAAAATTCATTACCTTTATCTTGATGATAGTTGGGTTTCTTCGACGGATAGTCGGCACGTTGTGAGTAGGGTGTAGATTTCGGTGTTGAATAGTCTTTGTGGTAAGACTTGGACTCATCAGCTCTAATACGGTGATGTCGCACGTCGGAATTATTTCCACGATTGTTGGAGTATCGGGTTTCATAAGATTTGCGATGTTCCCTGCGGTCAGAGTAGACGTGCGGTCTGGGTCTGCGATGCTTGGATCGGCAATCACGAGCAAGGTGACCTGGTTTGCTACAATTCTAGCACTTTCGTTCTGCTCTGGCAGAAAGTGCTCTCTCTCCTTCTCGAGTC